AAAATGAAAGATTTAATCAAGAAGAGTTAAGGTGGTCACTGATGGCCTATGGTGCCACTACTCAGGAATGCTTGGCTACACCTTCCTGATTGTAGGTTTTCCCCTCTTCCACAGTTCCCTTTTGACCAGAAGAATTCCTCTATACCCTTGGGATTCTGCAACTTTATACTCAAAGCATCTGGAAGTTTGCTGCCCTCGTCCCTGGTCTGTATGGTCATAACTGTTTGAAGAATTAAGCTACAAGATGACAGACACTTCACACCAGGGTGGGTCATTTATTTACAATCAATGATGCATAAACCTGAAACTAAGTTAAATAAAACTATTATGTTCAAAAGTTTAATTTATATACTTAACTTTAAGAGTATTTAAGTACCTTTAAAGCCAGGCAGAATGGTTTAAAATGTAGCAATTTATTTCTTAAAATTGTTAATATCCCACAATATTAGAAAAAATAATGCTGGGACAGTTTTTTTTAAATATTCTGCTTCTCATAGCACATTAACACAGGCAATAATGTGCTGAAGGCCTAGGGGAACCGGGGACAGGGTGGGAGAGGCAAAGGGGGTGAACTGAGGGACATCTGTAATAGAGTCAACAATAAAAAAAATTCTCTGCTTCAGAATTTCTCCCAATTTCTCAAATGATGAAAAACCTACATTTACTGTGTTCATAAATAAAATTATAGAAAGAAAATGTTTAATGACACAAACTAAAACAAAAATAAAAAGAACAATAAATAAAATTATAGAAGCATAATAGCAACTTATTTGTTTATAAACTTCCCCAAATAAAAATAGTAAAAAAGAAAAGATTTTTTTAAAAGGCCTTCAAAATTATGGTAGTCCCAGTTCTGAATCTAAGTTGCTAGATTCTAAGTTTTTCTCCTTCCTGTATTGATAAATATTTGGACTTAAATGAGATGACTGGCTGTAATTCCTCTAACTGTATATGCTGGAGACAAAAGAAGGGCTTGCAGGGCATTCCTAAATATCATTTTTAAGAGAGAGCTAAGATATAAGATACAAAGGGGGGACAAGTTGAAACAAAAAAGTAAGATCAACTAAATTCTTCACGAAGAAAATTTACAATGAGACTTGTTTTAGTTTGCTTGACTCAGCCTTCTTTAAGTTGCCAAGGACACAGCAGCACAGATCTTTCCTCCTCCTCACCCTGTATTGGTCTCCAGAGTAAGTCTGGTGAGCTGTGACAGCACCAATCAGAAGCAAAGGGCCTTGAAAGATTGTAAGGTCATAACAAGAACCAAGAAAAGAAAACCTAAATAAACAAGAGGGAGAAAAAGCCACACAGCTTGCTGAATTTTCTATCCAAGGCATGCTTCTCATTGGTGGATTGATCATGCTAATCATTGGTGGATTTTTCTACCAATGATTAGCCTGATAGAACTTGGCTGTTTCTGATTATAGAAGTGTTAACACAGGGAGGAAATTTTTATTTAAAAAAAAGTTTTATAGTAAATTAAATTTTATTACTATTCTTAAACAGAAAACCAGTAAAGCTTAAATAAGTAGTTTTTAATGTAAAGTCAAATCAAGTGGCATTCATGGATGCCTCACTACATTTCTTTAAGAAATCATGTAAGTGAATTAATTGTCTTTAGTCATTTATTATTTGAAAAAGTTTTAAGTGATATATCCTAAAACTAGTGTTGAAAAAGCAATTATATAACGGTTGAAAAACAAACATTTCTAGTGTGTTTAAGAATATTCAAAATTAACAAAAACAATAAATATTTTTAATTTATGAAATTGAATTAATTTATTATTTATAGCTTTTTAAATTATCTAACTCTAAGGCCCTTAAATTATTTAATATTCAAGTAAATATATTTAATATTTCTGTATGTTTTTAAAGACCATTTAAAGGTTTCTAAATTTCACTTTAACTGGTGAAATGTCTAGTGGGGTAAAAAACAGAGCAGGTAGATCTCAGAAAGTACTGGTGAAATAACATTTTAAAAAACGCTCTGCATCTTTTATTTACTCAACTCTCTAAAATCTGTTTTTAGTGGAAACACCTGAGCTTCACTCTGGACCTACTGGCTCAGAACCCATGGATATAAGTTCCAAGACATCCGCCTTGTAACAAGCTCCCCCAGGTGATTCAAGTGTGAGAATTACTGTTTTAAATGTTGAGCCAGGCCCTGGCCTGCGTGGCTCGGTGGTTGAGTGTAGACCTATGAACTAGGAGGTTGCAGTTCCATTCCCAGTGGAGGCACATGCCTAAGCTGCAGGCTGGATCCCCAGTTTGGGATGTACAGGAGGCAGATGATCAGTGATTCTCTCTCCCTCTCCCTTCCTCTCTGAAATCAATAAAAAATATATTTTAAAAAATAAATGTTGACCCAGGAAATCCTTTCATTGGTCCTCTTCTACCTCCACCTGTTACACATGCACAATTAAAATTACACCCCAAATTTCCACTACTTACTGCTATCGATAGGATGTATAAACTGCCACTTCCCCCTGCCAGCACCTATAATCGCACCTGATACAAAGAATATTTGTTTGATGAACACGAAGACTCTCAAACCTGCTTTGTCAAACAAGATCTATCCTTTTTAGGCTCCATACCTGCATATGAAGCTCTCCAATGGACATGTCCACATGGACGTCCTAAAGCTACCTTGAATCAGTTAGGATTCAGTTCAGCTAACAATAACAGAAAAACCTAAAAGAATAGAGGTTTATATAACATAGAAGTTTATTTCTCTCAGGTAATAGTCTGGAACAGGCTAGTATGAAAATGTTGCTCCACAAAGTTCACAGAGACTCTGACTCCTTTCTACTTTAAACTCCACTATGCCTAGAATATGGTCCCCATTTCATGGTCCGAGACAGAGCTCCACCCAAAACAACCACATCTCTAGCAGCAGGACAGAGCAGGAGGAAGAAAGAGAGATGGGTACATTCATCTCTCTGTAATACACCTCCTGGAAGTAGAACATACTACCTGTACTTTTATTCCATTGACCAGGACTTAATCTAATGATCACATCTAATTGCTAGAGAGGCTGTAACAATAGTCTTTATGTCAGGCAGCCAACTTGTATTACTAAGAAAAAAAGGGAGACCAGATGCTGGAGGACAATAGCATTTGTAGCCACACATTCCAAAGTCACTGTGTCACAAACTGAACTCATCAGTTTTCAAGATAAACTGTGTAATTTTAACCTTTGTGATGTGTCTACTCTACCTTTATCTCCATTCCCCTTACCAAACTCTTTCTCCTCTCTTAATAGTGTTATCATGTGTCTTTTTGTGAAGCTTTTCTTTAACCAACCACTTTTACCTCCAGCCTAAACAGACTGGATGTCTTTGAACCAACTTCATATCTAGCATACATCTCTATTTTTACATTTTTAATTCTATATCATATTTTTAAATCTATCCCTCCACTCATCCCTCTCCCAATAGAAAGCAAACTTCTTGAGGAGACTATGCCTCATTTATCTTAGTATCATATGCATATAGATCTGTATCATACTAAATTTTACAAAAATCAATCACTAATGTCTGCTTCATACAATTATGGCAGTAAGAAACTGTTAAGAGTTGCCTAATAAAAAGAACATCATGGTATGTAGTATTGTGTTAAAGACACAAATTACAAAAAATTCCTCCCTTATCTGTGGTTTGCTTTCCATGGCTTCAATTACACATGGTCAATTCCAGCCCAAAAATATTAAATAGAAAATTCCAAAATAAACAATTCATATGTTTTAAATCATGTGCCATTCTAAGTAGCATGATAAAATCTCACTTCATCCTACTCCTACACAACCAGGACATGAATCATCCCCTTGTCCAGCATCTCCATGCTATATACGCTACCCACCATTAGTCACTTAGTACCATCTCAGATACACTGTCATGGTATCACAGTGCTTGTGTTCAAGTTACCCTTATTCTACTTAATAATAGCCCCAAAATGCAAAAGTAGTGATGCTGGCAATTCAGATATGCCAAAGAGAAGCCAAAAAGTATATGTATGTATGTATAGGAAAAAACATAGAATATATAGAGTTGGGCAGTATCCAAGGTTTTAGATATCCACTGGGAGTTTTGGAACATATTCCCTACAGGTAAGAAAGGACTAATGTAATACGGCTACATGTGCTTACCTCTACTCCCTTCCTCCACACAGCTTACCTACTAATTTTCTACATCCATTTTCTCTTTTTCAAGTATAAATAAATTTAGTGAGGTAAATTTTAAGTATGTTTACATTTAATTCCACTAATAAGTTTATATTTAACTTAGGCCAATGAATGGGTTATGTGCATAGACCCATCTTAAATCTCAGCAGCTATTCCACTCTCAGAAAACCAGGTTAGGCATGTCTACGCCCTTGGAAGAGTCACCAAAAAAGTCCAATCTTTTGATGACTTTTCTCTGAAAGAAAATATCCAGAAAATCATATAGTATTCAACTTATGAAACACAACATCACAACTGATAAACCCATGACTAAAATAACATACTAATCTATGATGGCTTCCATAGGGTCGAAATGTTCACTGATGTGTAAATTTTACTTAAGACTATCAAAGTATCAATTTAATTGTAACATGACCAAAATCATGTAAAACATGTATGTAATAATTGTTATGCCCAACCTTTTAAATTCTATCTTCTAGATATAAACAGTGGAATACCATGTGTAATTTTAAGTTTAATATCAACTATAAAGGATACTAAGTACCCCAAAGTGCTTACAGCAGCGAGGCTTCAATGGTCCAAGAATAGTTCCAGCTTTGCACATATCTCCAGTGTAGACTGTCAATTCAGACTATGATACTGGGTTGGCCCTCAATAATTCTAATCACAGTCTTCTTTTATCTCCAGTTCTCTAGCCTGGACAGTGCCCTCATTGTTCTGCCTGTGGCTCCAGTGGGTATGAAATGCTAACCTCAATGCCAATAGCAGTTATATATATTTTTAATAAAATAAAAGAAGATGTAGTTACTTATTATCTTACCATTGGCTCCTGGTGGTTGCAATACATCTCCTGCCAGACGACACCACCCAACTGGGAAAATATCTCGGCAATAGTATTTGCACCAGTAATCAAAACCTCCACTCCAGCCATCAAATGTGATATGAACTTCGTCTCCTCTAACACCTCCAATAGTTGCAGGACATATCATATCCGGATTCTTTTTGTCTACAGCTTCTAGTTTCATCCCCACTTGAAAGTTATTTAGAGGTGGCTTTGGTGGTTCCTATCAAAACATTTAAAAAGTTTTCATTGTTTAGATATATTAAGAAGCATTTGCTCAACTGATTCTTAAAACCTATAGCAGCTAAAAATTGAGTTCTATGCTTATTCAACTAAAATACAGGAAAAAACAGTTCTTAGAAATCGCTCTGCAGCCCTGTTCTACAACATCGCACTTACTCTGAAGCAGAGCCAAGAACCTGGAAGGAAACAAAACCAGCATGACAGTAATTTAGACATTCATTACTCATTCATTCAAGAAATATATATACTGTATACTATGTACCAAGAATTCAGGATTTATTGGTAAACAAAAATATCAAAGATACCTGCTCTGGTAGAGCTTAAATTCTAGTGGTGGTAGTAATAGGGTTAGGGGCTGAATGGGGGCAAAGGGGAGAAGCAATCAATAAGAAAGTTTAAAAGAGGGAGTCAAACAAATCAATAAAAATTATAGGTGGTAAATCTATAGAGAAGGCAGACACAAGAGCATGAAAGTCATATATATCATATATTCATAATATATTGGATATGTATGATATCCAATCCAGAATACTTTAGAAAGTATGCCTTAGTTTCAAAAGTTAAAGCATGAAAATGCTAACAGGATTCTTAGAACGCCCAAGTGCTCTGTTGAAAGCAACATCTTTTCTTTCAATTTGCATTTTATCCTAGTAAACGGCACTATCAGCTCCCTAATCATCCAAGCCAAAAGCCTGGAAATAATTCTAGACCAGTGGTTCTCAGTCCAACTGAACATTAGACTCACCTGATGGCCACACCACAAGAGAAAGTATTAAACTGGTCTTGGGTGGGGCCCAGGCATCAGCACCTTTTAATTTCCCAGGTGATTCTAATGAACATTCAAGGCTGAGAACCACTGCCCTGAAGACATCCTTTCCCATTAAAAATCACATTCAAAGACCACAACCTGCCAATTCTACCCTCTAGATCTCTACAAAACTAACATTAAAAGCTAACCTTTAATTAGTTAGTATATGCCAAGACACTGTTTTCTATGTATTAATTTAATTCTCCCAATACCCTATGAAGTCAGTGAAATTATTATCCTCATTTTACAGGTGATAAAACTTATGCACAACTGCCTAAGAATACAACATAATACATAATATCAGAGTTAGATTTTAAACCTAGGCAACTAACTCATTGCAACACCCTACCCCATCATCTGCCTGGCCAACTAATTCCAACTCATCCACTTCCAAATCACAGTTCTCTTGGTCTCTTAAGGCTTCCATGACCAACTCCTGCCCACTCCTAGGCCCACCTCAGAGGCACTCTTGCCTTCAATTGTGAAACTACTGTTGGAATGTGTTCACTCCTCTATGAGATGAATGGATTCTCAAAACAGGTAGTACATCTTATTCATGTCATTTCCAGCACAGGACCAAACAGCAAGCAGTTAAAAAAAAGAATGAAACAAGGAGTCACCTGAAGAACAGTAAACAAGCTCCCAACTAATTATTTCACCAAGATATAATTTAAGAAACATATCTGGTAGGTTGGTCCCTTTATAAAATGCCTCTTTAAACCCATCTCATTAACCATATTTTTCCACTGTTATCCTTTATACTCTTGCAATTTGAAAATTCCTTAATTATTAGCCATCAATGTCCTTTTTAATTACATATTTTTAATTTGATTCTTTAAAACCACCCTGAAAGTCAGCAGAACAAAAATTAGCTTGAGCAAATATCAAAATATATACTAACTAAACAACTGGTAAGAAACAAGATTTACATATTGCCACTAAAGACCAATTATCTGTTACCATATATGGGGTACAGGGGGGCATATTTAACAAAAGATAACTTGGTAGTTGATGAATTTATGCTGGACATTCACAGAATGCAGGAAACATTCAAGGCACACATAAGGTTCCCAGGGCCTTAAAATGTCATATGACAGAATAAAAGGAAAAACTGTCTGTAGCAAAGCAAATTAAGTTCAAATGGCAGTACACACTTTTCTGCTATTTATTCTCTAAAGATTTTCATACTATTAATTCTTCTAAATTTTATAAACTTACTTATCTATTTTACTTACATCAGCATACCCATACAAACAAATATTAACAGACTCTGAAAGAAAACAAATCGAGAGAAAAACATCGATGTGAGAGCAAACAGTGATCAACTGCTTCCTGCATGCACCCCCCCGCCCCACCAGAGATCAAGCCCGCAACTCAGGCAAGTGCCCTGACCAGGAATCGAACCAGCCATCTTTTGGTGCACAGCACAATGCCCAACAAACTGAGCCACACTAACCAGGACACAAATCTTTATTTTTGAAAAAGGAAACTGCTCTTTTTGTATAACATAGTAAATGAAAGGGCTTTATCTCAAAATAAGGTACCTCCAGATTTAGATAATTAGCAAAACGGTTCCCTCTGCTGCCCATGAAAGGTAATGATACTGCTTTTAAATGATTTTAAAGAATATGCTTTGCCAACATTAGTTCTTGAATGACTTCCTAACATAAACATTTAATTTGCAGAAACAATAGTAAAATAAACAAGGGGTCATTGTCTTTTACTGTGAGAAAAGTGATTCTGTTCAAGAAGGTGGCAGTAAAGAATGCCTTTTTAACCTCCTTCCTCACTTACCTACAATATGGTTCTACTTAAAGGATATTTCTTCCCAAATCCCACCAACTCTGAAGCCAATCTCAGTATTACCTGCATTAATCCTCTGCCTGAAATATTCTTACCCTTATAACCTCAGGGTTCATTCTCTCCCTTTCTTCAGATATTTACTCAAATGGCACCTCCTCAGCAACACCTTCCTGACTAATGTATCTAAAATGTCACCCTCCCTTATCCTTAGTGTATATGTAACTATGAAACATAATATATTCATACTTTATTTAGCATGGTTTGTTATACATTTCCCCAGCTAGAAGGTAAGCTTCATAAGGGCAGGAAAGGTGTTTTTTACTCTTTTGTATAAAGCTGTATTCCCAGAGTCTACCTCTGACCACAAACTCCTATCCTTAACTTCTACTTCCTTACTTTTAATCAACTATTTATTTGACCTCATCAAGAAGTCTAGTCCTTTAACCTTCATTTATCCATTTACAAATATTTACTGAGTGACTACTACATGCCAGACATTACTGAAGGTTCTTGATATCTATTAACTAGCAAAACAGATTTTTTTTAAAAAAAAACACCCTTGTGGTGCTAAGTAAAGAGAAAGATAAGATACCATGATAAAATAAGTAAAATATATTCTATGTTAGAAATAAGTGCTATGCAAAAAAAGAGAACAGAGAAGAATAAGAGCCAAAGAACACTGTATAGGAAAGATTGTGAGATTTCAAATAGGGTGATCAGGACAACTCTCATACAGAAGGTGATAGTGAGCAGAAACCTGAAAAGAGGTGATTATTAACTATGCAGCTATGTAGAGGAAAAGTGTCCCAGGCAAAGAGAACAGCCAGGGCCTAAAGCAGGAGATGTGTCTGAAATGCTTGAAAACAACGAAGAAGCAAGTATGGCTAAAATGTAGTCTGCAAGTATGAGAGCAGAAGGAAACAAGGTCAGAGAGAGAATAAAGGGTCATATTATGTACAGTGGTGGAGGCAACTATGAGAACTCTGGATTTTATTTGGAGTAAAATGGAGAGCTCCTGGATGGTTTTGAGCAAAGGACTAATATAATCTCACCTTTTTTTTTTTTCAAAGCAATATTCTGGTTGCTGTGTTGACTACCAACCCTAAGGTTATAAATAAAGAGACCACTGAGGAGGCTACTGCAGTAATCCAGGTGAGATATAAAAGTAGTTTGTACCAGTCTGATAACAATGGAGATGTCAAGAAGTGGTTGTATTTTGAAGGTAGAGCCATTAGGATTTCCTTATGAACTGGATACAGTGTGTGAAAGAAATAATCACCACCAAGGTTTCTGGCCCGAGGAACTAGAAGGATCATTGCTACTCCCTGAGATGGGAAAGGCTGCATGAGGAGCAGTTTGAGATATATATTAGATATTCAAGTGGAGATGTAGAGTAGGTAGGCTGGATATACAAATCTGAGTTGGGAGCAAAAGGTCTAGATTGGAAACACAAATTTGAAAAAGTCATCTGCATATAAAGTGTATGTAAAGACAGGAATTAGATGAGGTCACCAAGAAATTAATAAAGATCAGAGTTTCTCAACCTTTGGCTATCTGAGGCCAGACATTCTGTTGTGGGGGCTGTCCTGTGCACTATAAGATGTTTAGCAACATCCCTGGTCTATACCCACTAGATACAGATAGTACTCCTACACAAAGTAATAACAACCAAAATTGTCCCCAGATGTTGCCAATGTTCCTTGAGGGCAAATCGCTCCCCTTCCCAGCTGAGAGCCACTGATATAGATTAAAAAAAGAGAGAACCAAACACTCTAACATTCTATCACACCTTTTTAATTCCAGGTTACAGAGCATCCTGTCACCACTTTCTCCTCAGCACCCAAAACCAACTTATTGCCTTGTTCTGTTATCTCCAAATCTTAGTTCAATATCATATCCACTTTACCTATATATACTTAGTTGCTGAGCACTGATGAAGAAAAGTCCCACATGCTTATTACATGTAGTGCCACACATAGTCTTCATCTTTAGCTGAACCCTCCAAAATAGCCATGTATGCCTAAGCTGTTACCTCTCCAACCCCATCCAAAAGACTAATAATGCATTCTCATTATATGTTTATTATTTTATTTGTTAACTGACATTCTCCCCAACCAGAGAATAAGCTCTCCACCTCAATGTTAAAACACAACAGACATTCAGTCTATGTATGAATCCTCCCCTCCAACTTTTGTCAGTTTCCTATTTCACAGAGTAAGAAACTGATGCCATCAGCAATGAACTCTATCAATATTCTGCCCCCACAATTACAAATTTAACTATATATAAGGGTACTGTTCACCTAGTCTTTAGTTCTTACTAATGTAACTGATGACCTTCCTATCCACCAAATAGTAAGGAATCAGCTT